CCCACTGCAAGGATATAGAGTGTCGGCCGGCTTTTCCCTGTGGACCAATACCCAAATGTATGGGAATGCCAGCCTACGAATGTGTTTGTAGGCGTATCCATGTGGACAACCACATTTGCAAGTTGCTTATAATTTACGCACACCTATGTGAGTGTGCCTTTGTGGCTGTGTGTGTGTCTCAATGATATCAGTTGGCTCACGCAGACGGGCAACCTTTAGTTACAATTGCCACCCCCGAAAAGCATACTTTCCCCGCCCATCCACTTTGTCATATTATGAATCCTAATTCCGTTTTTGGGGTTCGGGTTTTGGGGCTTATGACCCGAGGTCCTTCGATGACGTTATAGATACTTCAGCTGTCAGTCAAAATTCTCGCTGATTGCAACTGAAATGGCCCCAAGCTATCCTAATTCTCATCTATTTATTCAAAATATACTTAAAGAAAAAATGGAATTTATCATAATATTTAAAATTATGAATATATTCTTGTACTAACAGGGTACTTAAAAATAATATATTATTATTCTAGGACAGACATATATTATTAACCAAGAACCCCAAATAGATAACAAGGTTCACGAACATATTTTTTCCAGTGTACCTTCATCACATTAACAACTGAAAGAAGTAAAACCTTTTAAGGCACTGTTGTCCATTTTTTGTTGTTTGTTCGCCCCATTATTATTTTTATTATATCCTGCGATGTTGGCCAAGGAATTTATAATGACAAGCGAGAATTTTAATATTGTGCCACTTTCTTTGACCAGGGGGCGTGGCACTGCCCATGGGGCATTGTTAGCCACAGCAAGATGCAATAAAATAGAAAAGCTCATCAAAACCAACGGGGGTGATGGCTGGGCACTACTATTAAAAACTTTTCCAACACATTTTCAAGACCCGCCCTTCGGTTAAGGAATAATAAAGACGAGGAAAGAGGAGTAAAAAAGGATGTTCTCTGTGCTTCAAGTTGGCCATAATGAGCTTAGTATGCATAAAGCGGTGAATTGTCAAAAGATATTTTCTGGACAATTTTCTTTTTCGTCATACAAACGGGAAGCGGGTTCCTTTTTTTTTTTTGTAAGTAGTAGTAGGACAATGGCGAAAATTGCCAGTGGTACGCCAAAAGTTGGTGGGACGTGGCTTGACTTTGGATTATTATAAAGCTTTCACTTTGCTTAGTTGGGCAGACAAAGTTCTCAAAGAAAATTGATTGCATTAGTTAAGGGGGTGTGCGAAAAAATTGGGCAGCTTGGTTGGGTTAAAATTTGTAGACACGACATTTGACTTCAAAGTGGTGAAAGAACAGTGAATGATTTTTTAATTTTTGTTGCTTTATTTTTTTTTTAAAGAAAGTAAAATTGCCCGCACTACAAAAAATTAAGGTTATATTATTGAACTTAAGTGTTTTCCATTTTCACTTTATCATTTTAACATTTTAGATATGTATTATTCTGACTTTGTTTCACGGTTTAGACTAATCTGAACTCCATGTGCATTTCAAATTTAAACACAAAGTTGGCACCCCTATCTTCAGCTAATGAATTGAGTTTGCGGCTCAAAGAGTTGTTATACTTGTGCATTTGCCACAGTTATCCACTGTTTTCACTGTGGCAGCTCTTTTAAACAAGCCAATTAGCAAACTTTTCATTTATCAAAGCTTAAAAAAAGCCTTTGGCCCTTTGATAAGCTCACACTCCTTTCTTCCAACCCCATTTCCCCCACTTTTCCCTCCAGAAGTCATGCAAATGCTGTGTAGTGGCCGGAAAAACACTGGAAAAAGGGGAAGAGAAAAATCAAACGGAGAGAAAAATGCGGACCGCAAATTTTCCATGTCATTGCATAAGTCTCTTCATTAGCCCAACCAAAAAACGACCGAAAACCACCAAAAAAAATTGTCTCACGCAGAATGACATCAAACAAAAAGGAGAAACCGAAGGAAAAGCAAGAGAATTTACCGCCCAAAAAAAAAAAAGGAAAACTAAATCATTAAAACAGAGAATGGTTTTTGAAACGCGTCGGGAAAAACAAGTCAGCGAAGGCGACATGTTTTTGCTTCGTTAATAAACTGCAACGATTCTGACAGGGGGAGGTGGTGGTGACCTCAAAAGGGGGTGGGTAAATGGGTGGCGGGTAAGTGGGGTGGCTTTGTGGAAGCCACAAGAAAGACGCTGCCGAAACCGCAAGGCGTCGGGTAAATTCTTTGCAGGGATTCTGGTTGCGGCTGCCAGTTAGAATTTTAAAATGAACCGCAAGAGAGACCCTTAATAGACGTGGAAGGTATAAAAAACCAGACCGAAAATTGTCAAAGGGTTGTTAAAAAGAAAGCAACACCAAAAACCCCCAAGACACGTACACAAAACAAAGTGAAACAAAAAGATTTACTTTAAGTATTTTGCCAATAAATTTAAATCACAGACAGTCTAAGGAGCGAAAAAGGGTGGCTAAAAAAGAAAGAGGGCGAAATTGGGGCCCAAGGAAGCGGCATTAAAAACAAACAAACGCACAGGATCCTGCGAGTCAAAGTACAAAATAAAAATAAACAAAGGAAAGGAGAAAGGATGGGAAAAGAAAGCGCGTCAGAAGCCAAATAAAGCGTTAAAAGGATTTATGCGCAAGTTGAGTAGAGTTTATACAAGGACCTTCTTCTTTCACCCTATAAAAGTAGCTTACAGGTGGAATTACGCGCCTTTAAAAAGAATTCATGATGCCTCGAAAAAAACCTTCACACACTTTATCACCGAACTCAAAACCTCTTCGGATTTTTCCTTGGCAAATTAAATTTATTCCTTATATTTATGCTTCACGCATAATTGTAAAACATGATTTACCATCATTGTCGGGGTGGTTTTAAACAGTTTTATGCGAATTCTTTTGGCCAATATGTTTTTCGCAATTTTACACGGCCATGTTGGCATAATTTGCGCATATAAACAATAATCTTTTGCGAAAGCGTTGAACATAAATTGTTCACATCCTCTGCTTTTTCCCCCTCTAATGGCAAACAGCGTTGTTGTTTTGCTGAAGATAACTTATAAATCATGTAATCAGAACAGCAAAAAAAAAATGGGAGCAGCATGAAAAACTGAAATTGCTTTTTGCTGATAGGGAAGAAAGGGGCTGGAAAATTCGGGGGGGAGGGGAAGGATGTGCTGTGCTAACTGTGTGGAATTTCTCTGCTGCCTTTCACAACTCTGTAATTTATTGTGCGTTATACAACTTTATGATTGCGTGGGCAGAGGGTGGCTTAAAAAAACTTATAGAATTGATTTTTATAGATAAGGGAATTAAAAAGTTTGCATCGATAGTTGTCTGAGTTATGACAAAATAGTTTGGTTTCCGTTTCTAAAGAAAAAACCTCAACTTAGATATTTTGTTTTATGTTATTATTAAGTGTTTAACAAAGTAGATTTACTTTACTTTTAAGGTCAATTTCTCAGTTTATTACAATGTGCTGTATAGTTTTATCAAACAAAGCATTTAATTATTAAATATTATCAAGCAGCTTCTGTTTCAATGGCATTCATTTAAACGCAGATTAAAATTGTTTGGCAACTTGGTAAATACCTGGCAACTATAAACATTCGTGTCATGACATCACGTAAACACTTTCCCCACCCGTTTTCCGTACCTAAATGCATTTCCCTTTCACAGGAATAGTTTAACGACTTTGTTCCACAATAATCTAGGCTCCATAACAACCGACCCGATGGAATTCAATGTCAGACGACTATAACTTGGAGGAAAAGCTGAATACCGGCGAGGAAAAGGCATTCCAATGGCGGCGAAACAATAATGGCATCGAGTTTAAAACCCGGGAAAGATATATGGAGCATGCACAATTTCCATTTGGTTATGAATAATTCCCTTGTTGGTGTGCACTTGCTTGTTAATATTTCCATTTCCGTTGTTTTATGGCCCGATTCCGAAAGGCCTAGACATCGGGAAGACAAAGGCCACACAAATATGAACAGGGAGGCACCGAAAGGGAGTACATTCAAGTTGAGTGCCCCGCTTTACAAGGACAATAACAAGGAGCAACAGCTTCAAGTGCACGAGCAACAAATGAAGCCATTACATTCACAGGCTTATCGGCAATGTCAACGACTACCTCACTTTTTGCCCCCTTACAACACAACATCCATTGTTTGCATAAAATTGCAATTTACAATTATGAGAAAAACAAAAACAGGGGCAAAGAAAATGATGACAGGGAGGCACGCTTATCAGGGGAAATTTTCGCTTAGATAAGCTCAAACGGGGAAATGAAACAGAAAAAACTTGTTTGCATTAGCTAAATGAGACAAAAATTTGATAAATTACAGAGGAGCAGTGGTACACAGAGAAAAAAGTGAGTGGCATAACAGAAATAATTTTCTTTGTTCTAAAAAGTTTCAATTTATTTAAAATTCTGTGAGTGCTTTTCCTAAATTTTTATATAATTTACTCTTCTAAATTTGATGTTAGCAAAAAAATACAAAATATATATCTTTAATAAGTTTCCTTTCTGTGCAGAGCAATATGTTAAGTCGAAGTAAGGGAATTCCCCAGTTGCAGCAAGGGAAAAAGGAAAAGCTGGGAAAATGGAACTTGCTTCCATAATTAGACACGCTGCTCACACAAGACGGAGGCATAAATTATTGCCAGTCAGTCTGAAGGAAAGTCGGAGATGAGGGGCCTGGCATCTTATCATTAAATTAGTTTCGGTGGAGGAGGGCAGCTTAAATGAGAGATTATTGCACAAGCGGGCGATAAATTAGGCAAAGCCTTATGAATGGGCCTTTTCGGGGCTTAAATCTGCTTCAATTTTGGTGAGATGCTTATACGAAAACTACAATTCCTTTTATACATATTATAAATATTCCTATTTCAAAGAAAACAAATTAGTATCTACATAATATAATTCTATAAATAATTTAATTTATAAACTTTATCCCGGTTTAATTTTTTTTTTTTTTTGTTTTTTTTTTTTTTATTTTGTCTACAGAAATTAGAAAACTCACCTCCATATCTGCAATTTGTCTTGTCAGCGGGTATATTGCCATTCGGTTCGAGTCGATCCAAGTATTCCTCCGAATTGTAGCCGTTGTATGGAACTTTGTTACCGTGGTTGTGGTGCCCGCCGTGGCCACCGCGATGGTGGTGGTGGTGGTGATGGTGGTGCGTCGACTCGTCGCCGTCTTCGCGGGAAATTGCTGCAAGGAGTAACAAAGGAAAGGCCACAGTTTAGTTCGAGTTCTCTTCAGACTCAGGCTCAAGCTCAGGTTCGTCGTTCTCTCGGGAAACACTGCCCTAATTAAATTACAGGCGCCGGCCATTGAGATGTCAATATCCATAAACGCCCAAGTGGCAGGAAAGCCACTTCAGTTTCGGGCCCTCCCAACTTCACTTTACAGTTTTCACCCTTCGAACCATTAGCTCCGACAGTTAACTATAGGAGAAAAGGAGGAGAGTTCGGTTTTCGGGATGCCAATCAACGCCTATTGGACAGTAGCCCTTTTTCGGGTCAATATGCCAAGCTCTTTGTGGTTTTGTGGCTGTGAAACCACAGTTTTGTGGCCATCTTTTCCTGACTTCTTGCTCTGAATCTGACATTTGCCTGCTCATGTTTACCTTTTTTTCCAATCAACTTGAAACCCATTTGACAAATTATCCCTCAACTATTTTAAACACAAAAAAACACTAGAATTAACAATAAATTTGTACCTAAAAATAGCTAAATATATTTAAATATAAATATTTTTTTCTGATTCGCTAACTTTCGTGTTCCCTTTTGAAATAATGTTAATATATTTTCTCACTCTTTAAATTCGGCTTTAACCAAACACCACTGATAGTCGCAGCTCATAAAAAGGAGAATGAGTATAAATGGTCAGGGTTTTTAGAGGGTGTTCAGGGCAAACATGGAGGGTATTTTGAATGTGCCGAATATGCAAATGAGTCGAAGACGACGACAACGCTGCGGGCAAACGAAAGAGCGAAAAAATTGCCTAAGCTTTTGTACAAATTTATATGGCAGCGCCGAAAAAAGGACACAAAACGGGTGAAATCACGAAGGACACTGGAGAGGCGGTACGCGGTGCTTTTTGGCTTCCAATTTCTAAAACGGAAACACAAAAGGCAGAACCAGCAGGGCCATGTTGGCCAAGTTAACCAGGTGGTCCGTTGTATACCCTCCAAAAAAAAAGGCAAAAACGCGAAGCGAGTCAAACGGAAATTGGCTGGATATTAGCTTACCGCCAGCACACATGCAAATCCTTTTTTCGGGTGTCCTGGTGAGCCTGCAATTTGCTAACGATATGCATACAAGTGGGCGTGGCTAAGTCGCAAAAGAGAGAAGGAGAGAAAATCCAAGAGGATTTCCCATGAAAAAAGTCAATAAATTGTAATCAAGCAGAGTGAGCAGGCCAAAAAGTGCCACAAAAAAGCTTGGGTTTCTCATCAAATTCTTTGATTTTGCCCATTTCTTGTACTTCCTCTAATGGTCATCATCTGGCAGAAGACAAAATAAGTTATGGCAAGCCATAAGCTGGGAGTCAGAGCTGCAAATATGTTTAATTAATAGCCACGGCAAATATGCAACCCGAGGGAGACCAAGACACAAGTTCCACCCTTGTCGCAAAAGGATGATGTCACCCACCACACAAATCACAAATTACCGCAAATCGTCGCTACAAATAAGCAATTTATTTGCCAAGTCAACGGAGAAATGAGGGACTGGGTGACCAGAATGCAATGCGAAATGCCCCAAAATCTTTCTGGGGGAAAGAAATCTCATAAAGTTGTGCCAAAACACGCCGGAAAAGTGGCCGGAGTTGGAAATGCTGGAGCTGGATATGTAATCAATAAAATATGTTCAACATAAAGTACAAGCCAAAAGGGAGTTGGCTGATTTTTTGAAAAGCGGGGGAAGTAACAGTTGAGTGCGGAGTTATAGAACTTATTAATAAATACAAAAATGTATATAAAACATGTTTTCATGGTTAGAAATCAAATACGTTTTCTTTTAAAAAGCTTATTTAAAGTCTGTCATTATTTGGATAAAAATTGTAAAATAAGTTTCTATAAAGTTATTCCCAGTTCCCCCCAGCATTCGTGGAGTAAAGACGTGTGTTCTATAGTTAACTCAAGTAATCCAGCCTAGGCCTCGTTACCGCTCGTGTATACACCTTGCACAGGAAGACTTTTTGGCCACTGCAAAGCGGTGGCTGTTATTGTCGCGAAAAACAACAGCGATAAGCGAGACTTAAAGCGTGTTTTACCCCTCGCTCTGCGCGTTGCGTAAGCGGGAGGTTGTTTACAACTTATCTTGCAGACTTTGATCGTGAACTGTGAATATCAATTGCTTTATACATCATAAGTATAAAGACAATTGATATAATGGAAGAGTCATCTGCTCACTCGCAGCCTAGCAATAGGAGCGATAAATTTGAGAAGATGAGAAATATAGCTGGTGCAGACCCTGAGGAAATAAGATCCCAAATCCGCGCCCGCCATCCAGGCTTATCTGTCCACCTCGCAGGTATGACCGATCATTTAACGATCACCAGCTCCATGGTGACAATTAGCAGTAACTCTACTACAAGTGTTACCTGCACCATTTCGAACGCCCAAACAATCTTGGGCAGTTCTTCTACTTACACCGTGGCTGCAACTGCGGCCAGCAGCATTTGCTCAACCATGACTCCGTTGACAAATGTAATAACTACATTGACGAACAAAACGAATAATTCGAAATGCCCGTTTCAAGCTCCTGACCGAAATGTCAGTCGAAAACGTAAAGGCGTGGCTCAGCCCTCTATACCTGTTCTTACTCCGCCCCCGATCCGCAAAACTAAGTTGCAGGCCACAATGCCGCTCAACAAGCCGACCAATTCTTCTTCTGCAAAGGCATTGGGTAACAATCGATTCGCGATTCTGGCTGCTGAAGCAGAACAAATGAAACAGGATCTGGAGGATGCTGACTCTACCAATGACGGTACAGGTGGAGAAGATCAATCCGCAAAATCTAACAAGATTCCTGCTATTTGTGTGCCGAACGTAAGCGATCCGGTCTTATTGGAACAATCTCTTGATCTTAGCATTGGCTCCAAAACTACAACATCCGCACTTCCAAATTTGGTGTTTCCAGAATCTATACAGCAAACTCAGACGCTTTTCGGGCAGCTGTAAAAACTCTGACAACGCTGAACTGTCAATTTTGGCACCATCAGTTGAAAGAGGACAAGGCCTACAGAGTAGTGATCAAAGGACTTCATACAAACGTTCCGAAATCTCAGATAATACAGGGATTTACTGAATTCGGCTTTGAGGTTCTTAACATATACTGCCCCAAAAAAACTGATTGGAAGAACATCCAGGTTAATGAGGATGACAACGAAGCTGCGGTAAATTATAAAACTAGGCAGAATTTGTTTTATATCAACCTTAAGCAGGGTGCAAACGTAGCAGAGTCCCTAAAAATTACGCAGCTTGGGAGATACCGAGTCACTGTCGAGCGTGCTTCCCGTAGAAAGCAATTACTACAATGTCAAAGATGCCAAATTTTTGGGCACTCTAAGAACTACTGTGTTCTGGACCCTGTTTGTGGTAAATGTAGTGGTCCTCATGTTACTGGTTCCATACTCTGTGTAAGCGATACATGCTTGTGCGTAAACTGTGGCGGTAACCACGTCTCGACAGATAAAGGATGCCCAGTCAGAAAAAATAAAAAAGAAAAGCCGAGGCCTAGACTTCCGATAACTAATGATCCAGGACGCGCATCGCGTGGATTTATACCAGCTGAGGCATTGAGAACGAACATATCGTATGCTGATATAGCTCGACCCAAAGATATGAAAGCAAGGACTGGCTCAACCCTGGAGAGTGACGCAAGCTCTCCTTCAGACCCTAGGCTCAGCCTTAAGTTCACAGCGTTAGATAATGCCATCCGCGACATTAATAGCAAACTCGACACTCTGTTTAAGCTAATGCAGGAAAATGCAGAGTCCAACAAGGCTTTCAGAGAGCTGGTCCACGTTCTCATTGCGCGATTGCCGAAATGATTCAACCAGAATTAAATATCGGATTGTGGAACGCTCGTGGATTAGTCAGAGTATCTGAAGAGCTTCGATTATTCCTCAGCGCTCATAACATAGACATAATGCTTGCCACAGAAACTCACATGCGCGATGGTCAGCGCATCTATTGCCAGGCTATCTTATCTACCATGCTTATTACCCCAGTGGCAACAGCAGAGGTGGTTCGCAGTCATTATAAAGGATTCCCTAAGTCACAATCCCCTGCTCCCCGCCTCTAGCAACAACAGACAGATAGCGAGCATCCAATTACAGACTTCAGAAGGGAATGTCACATTAGGGGCGATATATCTACCTCCAGCAGAAAGATGGATTCAATCAAATTTATTGCTGGCGGTGACTTTAATGCCAAACATGCATGGTGGGGAAACTCACGAGCCTGTAGCAGGGGTCAGCAGGTGCAAGAAGTCATTGCAAATGGGCATTACTAAGTTCTTGCCACGAGTGAAGCCACTTTTTACTCATATAACCCCCTGATAACACCGACAGCGCATGATTTTTTAATAATCAATGGATACGCTATAGACAGGCTACAAGTAAGAACACTCCATGAACTCTCCTCGGACCACACTCCAATCCTGGCCAGATTGCATGCCACACCTGTGAAAAAACCACAGCGCACGCAACTCCTTGCCAGAGGTGCTAATATAAACGCATTCAAAGCCTACAGAGCAGCTGAGCGAGGTTACATTAGAAGTCCAGGAACCTTCTGACATTGACAATGCCATCAGCCTTTTCATGCGCATGATAAACCAGGCTGCTGAGATAGCTGCACCCGGGAATCGCCAAAATACAGAGACCTCTAGGCATCTCCAGCTACCACCCAGAATTGCGGCACTTCTCAACCTAAAGCGAAGAGTAAGAAGGGAATATGCAAGAACGGGAGACGCTCGAATGCATCAGATATATAAACGGCTAGCTAACTGTCTAAGCAAGGCGCTCGCCCGAAGAAAACAAGATTCTATTGACAGCTTTTAGAGAATCTGGGCACAGACGCTAGTTCCAACTACTCGCTGTGGCGTATCACAAAACGGTACAAGGCTCAGCCCACCCCAAAGTCAGCAATTAAAAACCCCTCAGGTGGCTGGTGCCGTACGAGCCTAGAAAAGCTGAAGCGT